ATATATGACAAGCTGTATAATAATGCAGAAATTATTCATATCCGCAGCGACAAGTCGTGGGCTGAAGTGAGCTTTCACAGCCTCTCAGGGACAGACGCTGTTTTCCAAAGTTAGCGTCCTGTGGAATCTGCTGGAAAGACACAGCTGTTGTTGGAGGGGGAGGATATATTAACATTTGGAGCTGGCAGCAGAGCAGAGTCCTCTGCAGGCAGAGGGCAAAAGGTCACTCGCTGCTATTTCCCAGCTTTTGTGTCAGGAGAGAAATTCCACAGGTTTGAGCTGGACACTTGGCTCGCTATTGATGGATCTGAGCTCACATTTCAGTTATGTCACTGGATGCTGAGCTGTTCGACCTGTTGCTTGTATCCCGGGCATTAGTTGGTGTCTCGTTACACTTGTCAGAGAAATAAAGCAGTGTTGTGTATTTGCTCATGGGAAATGTATGTGCGTCAGTTCTTCGGGTGGCTCGGTACTGTTGTAAAGATTTGCAATAGGTCATTGTTTGTGTTTTAAACAAAGCATGGAACCAACATTAATCTGAAAACCACTTCTTATCTGCTATTATTTTTATTTAATAGTTAACTCTCGTACCATCGGTTAATAACATACACTTAAAGCATAAAATGTAACTAAAGGAATATAGAGTAGAAACAGCCTTTATTGTCCCGCCAAGGGTGTCACAGCAGCATCAGTTACTTTACAAACAGTAGACAGTGCACAAAAAATGAAATTAACACTGACTAGCAATGATATGACTACTACTAATAAAAAAATATAAAGAATTGTGCAAGAATAAAGAAAGATATGTTTTAGTTTAGACACAGCAGACTATCAGAATCTGACATTAGGAATCAGAATTTGTCTATTTTCTGTGTAAAACAATCAGCAGATTATTAACTGTAAAATATGACGGTGCAGACAAGAAACACAGATGTGCAATTACAGCTGAATTATTTTTAAAGTTTAAAAAGAGTAATAACAGCAAATGATTGCTCAGATGAGTAATAATAAATGAGTAGTAGTGCAAATAATTGTTCAGATGAGTAATGACAATGAACAGTAACAATAGTAACAGAATTAACATGTTTGATTTGTTTTAGGTTAAAACTCAAGTAATACTGTTGATGTTAATAAATGTTACAGSCTTTCAAAGATACACTAGAATGGCCAAACACAGCAGAAAGTGTGCCGCCATCTTGGTAGGTGCTATGTTACGTTCTTATGTTAGGTGCCCAGCAGGCTCCATGTGAAGCAGAGCAGTCGACGTGTGGAGCCTGTGGTCGCTCGAGGTTTCATTTCACACACAGGGCTGAGAACAAAACGATGCAATTTTCATCACGCAACTGCGACATTAGCTGCGTTTCCATTGCAGATGTGCGCAAAACTTTGTTGTTATTCTGTCAAAAAACACAGTTTCGCAACTGCAGTGTTTCATTAAGAAATGCTATTAAAGTCATGCGTGAATACRTTTGTTCTCGCAATAAGTCATAAAAAACATGGCGGCGATGGATKTAAACACATAGCATGTTGCTACCACGACACTAGCGCTCATCATCAGAGGAGATGTTGGCGTCTTTTATCGAGGCTTTCCTGCGACAATTCCCTACTTGGGAGCGGCTACGTATGCTGTGTTTTTGGGAAATTGTAGTCGGTGAGTTTACTATTTTATACTACTTCTGTGATATTACTACTACTTCTACTTCCTGTTATCTTCTTCTTCATCGTCTTTTTCACCTGTAGAAACAGCCGGTTGTTGATCACATGACTCCCGTGATGGGAAAAAAGTGTTTCCATGGCAGTTTTGCGAAAAACACCAATTTCGATAYRGCCAAAATACCACCTCATCCTAGCACAAAAACATTTTGTCGAAAAACGTTATTTTTTTCGAAATTGACGTGTTTCTATTGAGCAAATTTATTTTCGAAATTATAATTAGCGCATTTTCATGGTCAATGGTAACACAGCTAATGAGAGTGGATTTTGCAGGATTTAATGCAAAATGCAGAGAGCTTTACTGCCAGCATGGTGTCTGACCATGAGAGGAAAACATTTAAAGTCAGTCAAAAAGCTACAGTCGGGCAACAATATGTGGTATTAATATTTACAGAGTGTTACACGGAGCACTTAGCAATGTGGCGGCCACAAATTGTGCACGTCTTTGTGTTCACTGGCAAAATATCACATGAAACTCTTTAAAAATCAAACGTAATGTTTCCATTTGTTTTTCAGGGTCGTGAAGTTTCATCAAATGGACCCAGCGTACCGACAGAACCCAGTCCTCAGGAGACAAGGAAGTCCTTTGCCAGGGAGATGAAGCACCCCATCCTCCGTCCCGGTTACATCCCCATCCCGATCATCCACGAGGGATCCGACGTGAGGCAGCAGCATCCCTGTTACTCCTACATCCAGCCGACGGCGRCGCAGAACGCCCGGACAGATGTCCAGACGCCGCCGCTGGCATCTGCCATCCACCACAGCAGACCCAGATCACCGTTACACGGGCCCTCTGACGGCTGCTCCCCTGAGCCGGGAAAGACCGGATCACCCGTGTCACAAACAACAGAGGTACAGGAGAGAAATATGTTCTCATGAACGACTGCTGAAATCGGACTTATTTAAGTTAAAACGAGCAGATGCTAACATAAGCAGAATGTGAGGAATGTGTGCAGGCAGGTTCCAAAAAGTAACAAAAAGGCTGGCAAGGCAGCTCAAAACTTAAGAGAATCCTCTCAGGGGGGACTCAGAACACACTGGCTCAATGATCCGACACAGACTAAACACAGGACACAGAATATAAAGCAAACTAATTAAGGACAACAAGAAACACCTGGAGGAGCCACAAGAGGAAACAGGTGAGCATGGGCGGGGCTGGAGCAGGGCAGAGATACACAGGGGAACACAGAAACACTAGAAAACTAAGGAAAATGAACACGTCATGACAAAATTAGGGAATTTGTAGCTAAAAGTAGCAAAAAAAAAATGCTAAAGCTAATATTAGGAAAAAATGAAAAATGCTCTAAAGCTAAACTTAGCAAAACAAAACAAGGTTATTTGCTAAAGTAGCAAAACGTAACGAAAAATGGCAAAACAAATGCTAAAGCTAAAATTAACGAAACAGTAGCTAAAATAAGCAGGTGTGTAGCCAAAATTGGCAAGACATGGTAGAGCTAAAACTAGCAGAAAGGCTAAAATTGACAAAACCGTAAAAGAAGCTAAATAAATGCTAAAGGTAGAATTAGCCAAATTGTAGCTAAAAGTAGCCAAACGGGTGCTACAGCTAAAATGAGCAAAACAGTAGGGGTCAATGATTTTACTTAATCTGTAGCTAAAATTATCAAAATGACTTCAGTTTGAAAAGAAACTCTTTTTCTTCTGTTTTTAGAAGTAGCTAAAGCTCAATGAGCAAAACAGGAGCTAAAATTAGCAAAAGATAGACTGAAGATAAAATGAGCAAATCCGTAGCTAAAACAGATTGTAGAGCTAAAACTAGCAGAATAGCTAAACTAGGCAAAACAGATGGTAAAAGTAGCAAAACCTGTAGCTAAAAATACTAAAATAATTTCTAAAGATAGAATTAGCTAAATATTTTTAATTGTAGCTAAAGACAGGTAGCCAAACAGGCACTAAAGTGACAATTTAGAAACATTTTTTAAGCTAAAAGTAGCAAATCAGAGACTAAAATTAAAATGAGCAAATCCATTGCTAAAATCAGCAAAACTGTTGCTAAAAGCTAAAAAGGCAAATAATTAAAAGCTAAAAGTAGCAGAATAGCTTTTAATTGAACAACCAATGAGCTTTAGAGGTTAACCTGATTAAAGATGGCCGCCACAGTTAGATTCATAGAATGTACTTTCATGGTTTGACTAAAGCAGCTAAAACTCTGTCAGGTCTTTTAATCACTATAATATTTTTTCGATGAGYGAAAACTAAATTTCTGCTGATCTTTTTGTTTTCCAGGTTTTCACCGCCCCCCATCAGCAGGTGTCCCGGACCAGCAGCGGAGGTCTCCAGCCTGGTTACATCCCCATCCCGGTGGTCCACGAGGGTGCAGGAGGAGGAGGAGGGGGTCAAATCCAGCCTCAGTTGAATCCCTCCGTCTACTCGCAGCGTGTCCCCTACGCAGACGTACAGCAGCCTTTTCCTCGACATCAGACCGAGGACTGGCCCGGCTACTCCCCCAGAGAACGGACCTCCCCAACAATGTTTCCCCAACATCGCGACGCCGCTCCTGTTCACCTCCTGCACCACGTTAGGAGTCACTCGCCCATCAGAACACAGGTGATGGGGGAACGGCCACAGGTAAGTTAACCATTATTTTGGCTGTTGGGGGCAGTGGCTCACTGGGAGATAATATTAATGAGGGACGAGATGCTTAATTAATGATACAATACTGGGTTTATTATTTGAAAAAGATTAGATTTATTTTAACTGTAAAATAAAGACTGTAAAAATACTGTAGGCTGTTTAGTTTTCATAATTTTTAAACTAAATTTTTAAAACTATATTACACGGACAGGACCATTTTATTTACACACAAAGCGTTGTGGGTAAAGTCCTCGGTGCGAGGCTGCTAGCGAGCTATATCCACCCTGAAGGTTAATCTTGGACAATATCTGATGATCGACTCTTTTAAATGAAACCAGAGAGCGTTGACAGAGAGGAGAAGGTAGAAATGACTCAGCCTGGAACTGAAAATATGGATGGAGGACAACAGAGCTGCTTCATGGAAGAACAACCTCAGCTTAGCCTGTTAGCTTTAGCATTAGCCCCGATGCTATCACCATATATATGTATTAGCTCAAAGCTACACATTCTCCTCTCATCACTGAGGTCCTCCATCCACATGACTAGAGGGGAACAAAAAAATGACTCAACCTGTAACTGAAAATATGGATGGAGGACCTCAGCTTAGCTTGTTAGTTTGTTGCGCTAGCACCGAGCTAATACAAAAAAGACAATATAGCATCGGCACTAAAGCTAACAGGCTAAACTTAGGTTCTTCTTCCATGAAGCAGCTCTGCTGTGACAAAACTAAACAGCCCACAGTGTTTTTACAGTCTTTATTTTACAGTTAAAATAAATGTTTATCAAAAAAAGTAATGTTGCAACTAATCATGGATCCCTTTAAAAAAGGTTTTGCTACAAACTAAACTTACTTTCCTCAGAACTTGTAACAAATGTCTCTAAAGTCTCCAGCAGTCACAACTCAGTGAGCTGCTGTCCTGAGGGTTTCATTATTTCTGTCAGTTTGATGTGAAGTGATTCTTACAACCTTTTTTTGTTGTTTAAGGCTGCACAGCGTGCCGTCTCCAGAGACTCGCCTCAGAAAATGGAGCAGGAGCAGCAGAGCGTGCAGCAGAAACCCGAGAACACGTCGGCTCCTCCGACGCCGCACACTGAGCCCGACGTCCTGAAGCTCCAACAGCCTCAGCATCTCCAGCAGGCTCCGCCTCCGACGCCTCCGCAGCAGGAGCCCCAAAACCCGGAGCCACCTCAGCATCATGTGGCCGACATCACCGTCCAGATACCTCCCAAAGCAGAGCCTCAGGAAGCTCCCTCGCCCGCGGAGGCCGAGCCGGCGGCTCCGTGCGAGGCCCACCCGGGCTTGACTAAAGTGCAGCAGATCGTGGAGAGGGTGGCCAAACTGGAGCAGGAGGTGAAAAGCTTCGCTGGAAAGAAAAACGATAAGAAGTACTTGTTGCTGGAGGAGCTGTTGACCAAAGAACTCCTGGCGCTGGACTCCGTCGACCCCGAGGGCCGAGACGACGTGCGCCAGGCGAGGCGGGACGGCGTCCGGCGCGTGCAGACCATACTGGAGGAACTGGAGGAGCAACAGACGGAGAGGAAGTCGGAGAGCGGCGTCATCGCTGACGAGAACACTAAGATGACGAAGGAGATCTGATGACCTCGTGACGAAGAGGAGGGACGGATTACCTGCTGTATATTCCCCATGGAGCGAGCGCTGGACTCTTCCTCCTCCACAGGCAGTTCTTTGTGGACGTTGCATGCATTAATTAAGTGTTGGTACGTCCATTCAGCACATAATTAATGATCGCTCAGTGAAATTGTTCAAGCCATTGTTATTGCCTTCTATGTTGTGCCAATGTCTTTATAAAGAGTCGCGAGGAAGATGTGGACAACCGCTGCAAGGCAAGTTCGACTACGAGGCCTTTATTAATACGTGAAAGACAAATAGAAGTATTTTCCTAAAAAGTGTTATTTGTAGTTGCCTTTTTGTCTGATTTTAAATATCCAGTCAGCACATTGTTTAGCACTTAAACTAAAAAAACGGCGTCTCCAGCTGAGGGGTATGCTACGCAGCTGAAGTCAGAACTTTCAGAACCACGAAGGGGGTTCTGTCTGAGCCCGGTTTTGGTTTTAGTTTCCACTTTTTTAAATGTTCCACTGTGAATAAAATATGGGTTTATGAGATTTGTAAGTCACCACGTTCTGGTTTTTATTTACGTTTTTGAGAAGGGAGTCTGCGGTCAATAAGTGGGCGGTGCTTAGGGGGTGTGGGTGGAGTTTGTGGAAAGACTGGTCATTTTGACGTGTGGGAGGAAATTGCTGGACGTTGTTGGTTGGACTGACTATTATGGGGAGGGTTTGAAGAACTTAAAACTATTCGATTGGATGAAGGTCTGGCAGCTGGAGGGAACATTCGGCTTGGTCGTAACGGCCAGAAAGCACCGCTAATTTTTGTCCCCTGATGCCAAGCCGAGGGACAGAAAAACTCTACGTCCGTACGTTGGTCCGTCCACATTGTGGGATTTAAATAATGACGGTCTGTGACGATTCCAAAAACTGCTAACAGCTGGTCACAACTGAATGCCCAGGCACTAKTGACATTTGCAAGGTCGTGATCCAAGATGGCTGCCACCGTAGCCAAACTGTACATCACATAAAAATGGCAGCAGCTCAGTAACGAAAGCAGCTATTGAGCTGAATTTTTTTTGTAAGTAGATGTAAGTACGTGCCAACACATACTCTGGGAGTTTCGTAGGGAGATCACGATTTGCTACTTTTTGCCATTTTTGCTCTGAAAATGCAACGGGCATTGAGTTGTATCTCGTGAATATTATATATTAGTCATAACTTAAGACAGGAAATGCTGCTAGCCACACGAAATACGAAGTCAAAAAATTATATTTACATGTTCACAACAAAGTCACCGTGAAGTGACTCAGACTTTCACAGATTTCTTTATGGAACCTAACTACTAATTAGTTTATTGTAATCTTCGTAATATCGCTGAAACCAAAAATACAGTACAGTAAGGAACAACATTTTTATTGTTCATTTTTACCCTTCAAATACGAACTCCACCCACAACCAAGAACTCTGCAAATATTGGCTTTCCCAAAGTCCGCCCACAACAAAAGCACCGCAAATATTGGCTTTCCCAAACTCAGCCCACAACCAAAAACCTGTCAAATACAAACTCCGCCCACAACCAAGAAATCTGCAAACATTGGCTTTCCCAAATCCGCCCACAACAAAAACGCCGCAAATAAAAGTTTTCCCAGACTCTGCCCACAACAAGAACTACGCAAAGAATGATTTTTCCAAACTCTGCCCTCAATCAAAAACTCCGCAAATATTGGCTTTCCCAAACTCCGCCCACAACCAAAAACCCTTCAAATACGAACTCCGCCCACAACCAAGAACTCTGCAAATATTGGCTTTCCCAAACTCCGCCCACAACAAAAGCGCCGCAAATATTGGCTTTCCCAAACTCAGCCCACAACCAAAAACCTGTCAAATACAAACTCCGCCCACAACCAAGAAGTCTGCAAACATTTGCTTTCCCAAACTCCACCCACAACAAAAACGCCGCAAATAATGGTTTTCCCAAACTGCCCACAACAAGAACTCCGCAAAGAATGATTTTTCCAAACTCCGCCCTCAACCAAAAACTCAGCAAATATTGGCTTTCCAAACTCCGCCCACAACAAAAACCCTTCAAATACGAACTCCGCCCACAACCAAGAACTCTGCAAATATTGGCTTTCCCAAACTCCGCCCACAACAAAAACGCCGCAAATATTGGCTTTCCCAAACTCAGCCCACAACCAAAAACCTGTCAAATACAAACTCAGCCCACAACCAAGAAGTCTGCAAACATTGGCTTTCCCAAACTCCGCCCACAACAAAAACGCCGCAAATAATGGTTTTCCCAAACTCTGCCCACAACCAAGACATCTGCAGATATTGGCTTTCCCAAACTTCGTCCACAACAAGAACTCCGCAAAGAAGGATTTTCCCAAACTCCGCCCTCAACCAAGAACCCTTCATATACAAACTCCGCCCACATTCAAGAACTGCAAATATTGGTGCATCCGAACTCTGCCCATAACCAAGTACTTTGCAAATAGCAGTTTTTTCCAAACTCCGCCCACACCCAATAACTCCGCCTACACAACCAAAAAACACCTCTTATGAACTGCACAGACCCCTTTTGGACATTTCCTGAGTGGTTGTAGATTGTTAGTCATTACTTCCTCTATACGTCAGATAATATTTAATAAATGATAAACCCCTCAGTTGTAGAGCTACTTGTTTCAGGTCTTTCTGTAAACAGCAGCAGATTGTTTAACGTGATTTATAACCGTTTTCTTCAACATAAATTCAAAGAATATTTGTTTCCTGTTGGGATCTTTAGCCTAAATTTAGATAAATACAAGCAGCAGTTTTTAAAAACGATTCATTTTGTGTAATTTACTTGCACTTTTATTTTTTGGATCTGTGTATTTTAAGTGGAAAACGACATTTTTTAAATGCAAACACAAACTAAAGCAGAAAGTATTTTTTTAAAGAAACGTTTGAATCACCGTTGTAGCGTTTATTTTGTTGTTGAGTTGTAGTTTTTTTTTGTGAAGCCAGGCTACGAGAAGAAAGCCTAGCTTTGTTGATCCTGCTCTGTAGTACACCCCTCCGCTCACGTTAGGCCTGCTTCGTCACAAAACACAAATTTATTTACTAGATGCTACTTATTTTTGTTAAGTTTGCTGTTTTTTGCTGTTTGCACTGAAAATATATCATCATGCTGGAAAAAAAAATCAGCATTTAAACGCGTTTGGATTCATGTGTTCCAGTGTTTGTATGTAAACAGGTTTACTTGGTATTACAAATCATAATAGTATTTATATCCTCATTGTGAGACAATCGCTGCTACCTGAGTTCTGTTTTTGAGACGGTCAGAATGTCTTTAAATAATTACCAAAGCCACAATCTGTAATAATTTAAACACAATAAAAGGCCTAAAAGCTTTAAAAACAAATCTACAACTTCACTGACACTACAGTCTGTCGGATAAAATCCTGCACAACTGCTTTTATGATTATTCTAACACTTTTGTGATAACCTGAATTGTTTTTGTAGTAATTTGCMTCTAATATTGGAAGCCTTCCATAAGAGCCACAACCTGAAGCTCTCATCACAAATTATGGATTGTGGCTTTTAATGTTGAAGCATAATTGTAGAATTGAACATAAAATGTAAAAAATTTGTTGCAAACAATTTGCAAAACCTGATYGTTTTATTTTTTCTGTTTCATCTTTGAGGATGTTTGTGTTCAATAAAACGTAAATTACTAAAAAAAATAAAATACCAAACGTATGTTTACTCCCTGCGTAAAATATCAAAATTATTATTTTGTCTCAGTTTTTKTAGGAGAGACTGGGAATAGAGCTGCTGCACATCCAGAGGAAACAGCTGAGGATGGTTGTGTGTGAGGAGACGTGCCTGTGACATGTTTTTTCTTCAATTACAAAGAATTAAAGAAAATATCCTAATGTATTAGAAATTTGGCATCATTCACATGATTTTTACCCAGTTTGTCACAAAATGTGCACATTTTTTACTAAATTTGGTGTGGTCAAAGTGAAACAGGAAGTGATGTCAAAGGGGAACTCTTTAAAAAAAGGGTAACTTCTTGGTCTTTATAAATCTGACGCATTTATCTGATAATGACTGAAAATAATCCACAGAAACATCTGATTCTTTGCAGTGTGTTGTTAGCCATTGTAATGACTCATTGGGAATTCAGGCATTCCCATTTGACATCACTTCCTGTTTCTGCTCATGCGAATATCTCAAAAACTTCATTTCAGTGTCGTGAATTTCTGTTTGCAATTCATCATGAATGTTATATTTGAAAATATGCACTCAAATATATCACTTAAATTTAATGTCATGGGCACTTTAAAACAATATAAAAAATTTAGGATGCAATAGCCTGTATATATA